TATACCATTCCAAAGATATGCATTGCAGGTGTATACATTCCAGGTGTATACCATTCCAAATAAATGCATTTCAGGTGTATACAGTTCCAGTTGTATAGCATTCCAATGTATGCATTCCAGGTGTAAACAGTTCCAGGTGATACCTCCAAATGTATGCATTCCAGGTGTATACAGTTCCAGGTGATATCCATTCAAATGTATGCATTCCAGGTGTATACCATTTCACATATACATTCCTGGTGTATACCATTCTATATGTATGCATTTCCAGGTGGATATTATTTTAAGGTACCGGCATTATTTCTATACAAAGTGTTTTTATTCAAGTACAGTATATTCTATATGAAATTCCACGTGCATACAAATTCAGTTGTATGGAATCCCAGGTGCACATCATGTAATAGACGTTATTTGGCATAACTTATCATAGAATTCATACCTTTTCTTGAAGCTGCCTAAACCATCAATGTTCCGTCGAACAACCATATTTTGAATAGTACAGTAAGTTGCATGGAGTTCGTCTAGTAAAACCATCATCCAAATTGATTATTTTCATTTAACAGTGTATGCAAAACCTAAATAACTTTATTTACAATGTTTACTTTCATTTTTGCACTATTATTAGACATATAATTTAACATTGACTGCTGTGAATCTAAGACAGGATTGAAGTGATTGAGTGAACAAAAGAGGGCGACAATCAGTGTGTTACATAATGTGTTAACAGTACACCACACTGTATCGTGAATCGGTAATCATATTATAATAATTAAAAATCAATATTGAATTTTGTTCACATTTTATCACACATAAAATTATTTGACATAATTCTAACTTAAAAGTAGAGAAATTTTAATAGAATATGGGCTACATAAAGTTGGGTGATTGGAGAATATTTTAATACTGCTATGGTTGCTATGGTTGCTGTAAACCATTTACCGTAAATTTACAAAGGAGGATAATTTTTTATTATTTTGTTATTCCTCATTATAAAATGATTATTATTATTAATGTTGCTATTGTCATTATTATATTTTACTTTATATTATACTTTATTATTATTATTATTGTTATTATTATTATTATTATTATTATTATTAATATTATATTGTTATTACATGAACATCATCATCACAGGTGTACCAAGTTCGAAAAATCTCTTCTGTGAGATTTGGTTAAATGAGCTTCCATAACAAAATTAATTTTATTTTGCTACACATCGTGATAACCATTGGTGATGACTTCCGTGAGAAAATTTATAACAAAGAAGTAAGAATGCAAATATTATAAGTTTGCGGGAGATGGATTATTTTCTGGGAGATTTTTGCTTGCGGGAGTGCGGAAGACCGTCCCGATTTCTGGGAGACTCCAACGACTTCTGGGAGAATGGTGACTCCTGTCATCATTTCACATATTGTTATTTCTGCACTTAATTCATAATCTAGTTTTATCAACACTGCTATAACAATAGGCCTCATTAGAGTTGGTGGTGGGAATATTGGTTGCTTGTGGGTGGTTGTATCATCATAATAATTATCATTATCATCATCCACCTCACCACACCTGTTTTCATCATAATCAATATTAATATTAAAACAAACATCATCATTAAATCATCTTCATTAATCATCATCATAAACATAAACATTATCATTATTTTCATCATCATCATCCACCTCACTACTTTTTTTTTTTATCATCATTATAAATATTAATCAAAAACAAACATAATATACATATGTTAAATATGTATATTGTTTTGTATTTGATTGCTTACTAAACCACTAATTTTAATTAATTAATTACACTAATCATCATCCTACTCATATCATATGCAAATATACTGCATTGATTTGTTGTATTTATAAATATTGTCATATTTGAGGCTTGCCATCCGAAAATCTGCTTACTGCTGCTAATTGTTAAACTGAGTAAATAACATAAGAATGTAGCAATACAGTATTGTATTTTAGTACAGAGAAGCTGTAATATTTTACTCCTAACTTTGGAAATAGGTCGATTCCAGCAAATGATGCATCATTTTAAAGCTTATAAAGACATGCAGAATAAGAATATTATTAAAAAGTTATTTTTCATTTTTTGGTCATTGATACTGTTTTTAAAATGGCAAGCCTCATTTACCATCATGTAACTATTGCTATTATAGTTGATAATGTTGATATCTTCCAGTTCCATGGTGGCAAGGTCAATCCTAGGATTTATGGTCAAAAACTCTGCACCCACTGATTAATATATTAATTAACTAATTTGTATTTCCTTCAAATTTATTTTACTTCAATGCAATGTAGTCATGAAAACGTGTAATAATGTAGCCCTGCAGTATAAGTGCATAAATCCCTGGCATATCTAAGAGTTTTAAAATGTTGAGGGGGGTGGGGTGGCGCTGATGAAGGTGGAGTGGGAGGCGCTGATGGGGTGCGAAAGTTGAGTGGGTGGGCTCGATGAGTAATTTGCACTGGGTCGCAAAATATATGAGGTGATCATTAACTACTTCAGCCTAATTTTTTTGTCTTCGGACACCTTCAATGTTGGGGAAAAACTAAGGGGCACAAGCTTTTTTTGGGGGTGTGTGCCTGTACCCCCACCCCTGCGCACCTCATAGATATGACATTGCCTAAATCCAATGTTAAAGATATTACATTATTTATTATGGTGTTATGTTAACTAATTTTTCATAATTTTTAATGTATTTTGTTAAACCATGCTTCCTTTTGAATTTAGGCTAAGACGTTACACCTTGAGATCAACAGTAGGCAGAAGGAGCTAGAGTACCGGTTCAAGGCGTTTACAGGTGATGTCTCCCCAGCTCCAGCATATTCAAAGCGCTATTAGCATGTTAGGTGTCCTAACAACCACATCAACTGAAAATTCTCTTTGGTAGTGATCAGTTGCCGACTGACTTGGCGATTGTTATTGTATTCAGAAATATCTGATAAGTAAGAACAGTATGCTGAAAAAAACTATATCCACCTGGATTGTATAGTCAGGCATGTAACCAGGAGGTGTGACCGAACCCCCTCTTTGTGAGTGAGCCCTCTCGTAAACCAAACAAACGCTTTTAACAAAATGATAAAATTTCATTAACAAAAAGATAATGATATAATTCTGTAGATCCAGGGCCTCACTTTTAACCTTTACCCCCACAAGAGCTTTTCCCTTTAACCCCTCCATGACACTGTAATACCCTCTGAACCTCTAGCTCTCATAGGTAACCCCGGGCCCACCCCACCCTTTAATAATAATAATAATAATGTGATATTTATATAGCGCATATTGCAATAAACTGTCTATTCATTTTACATTATTAACCCTGGCAGCCACTGTTCCAGTATTTTTCAAACAGGGGGCTTATTTAAATACATTTTGTTCATGTTTGTACATATTGAAATCAGAAAATGAAGTGGCAAATATTAGGGGCACTACCCCTGTTCCCACATCTAGATGTGTATAAGAGACAGCCCCCTGCCTGGTCACTGGATCAAACTTTACACTTAAGGAAGAAATCCTCAGCTCCTTAGGGAGAACAATGCCATAAGAGGCTAGGATCAGATATTAGATCCTACCATGTACCTACTTATACTCCTTGGTGGAAAGAGACCAACATAGATAAAGTGCCTTGCCAAGCTCAAAAGCCACTTCCACAAAGAGGGTCTTGAACCCCGACCTCAAGATTAAGATTGTCAAGCACCACATTGTTTAAGGTCCTCCAGATTAGGGACCTGCTAATAATAGTAGATTGAACTTCTTACAATTCCTTATCTAAGTACTATATAAAGATTAACCATTCCAAAAATGTATATATTATACTTTATTGTTTAAAGAAATGAGTGATATGTATTAGATTAATTATGTGTGGTTTTAAATTTGAAATGTATTTAAATATATGTATTAAATATATATATATGATATATTGTTTGTTGTTATTCATACCATGGTCACTGTAATTTTTATTAGTTGACTGTAGTAATACATTTCATGATGGATCCAGTTCATGTCACCAGTGGCATAAAAATGAATTGTGGGACCAGGGGGATAAACATTTTGGGGCCCATGAAAGTTCAGTAAAGTGTTTACTTCTTTAGAGCATTATGAATATTAGGCTGAAAATACTGCATTAGAGGCAATTTCAGTTGGTAATGTTAAAGAATATAATTCAAGTGTGTGAATATACATCATAGAATCAACTTTTATTTTTACACACACCCTGTCCCCTTTGGAATCTCCCCCCTCCCCCCACATTGATATTATACCACTGAGTGTCACACATTCCATTAATTCCATTCAACAAACTCTGCAACTGTAAACGTGGCCTATGTGACCACACCCATGTGACCACACCCACATGGCCTTGCTTCTGTGTCCCCTCACCTGTGTTTAAAATCCTGGGCCCACCACAAGCCATTACCAAAAGTTAATTGGCATCTTATATTATTATCATTTTCATTGTCCTCATCTTCATTATTATAATTATTGTAATTTTCATTTGCATTCATGTTTTTGACTGTAATTCTGTCCATGTCAACTGTATATAAATATATTCCTGGGGCCAAATTTATCAAACTAGAAATCAGCTTAAATTTGTCTTAAGTCCATTTTTTTGCTTAAGTCAAATTTATCAATATTGCTTAGCTTAAAAAATGCTTAAAATTAAAGTCGATTGCACGCATGCGCCATCTTAGACAGTTTTTAAGCCAAAATTTTGCTAAGATGGTTTGACAAATCAGCTTAAAATATTTGCTTAGGAACAACTTAACTTTTTTTACTTAAGACATTTGCTAAGCTGAGATTGATAAATCCCGGGCCTGGTTTTTAATAAGCGGCGTGCAGGCCAAGTTTGGCCGCAAGGCAATTTAATTTGGTCCAAGAGGAAAAACAAAATAATGAAAAAAAAAATATTTATAACATAATAAAAGTTTGATGAATGCATTTTTAATTTAAAGTAAAGACAGAAATGCAACCCCTGGGTAATGTGCAAGGGGGTGGTTTGAAAATGAGCAAGATGATATACTGTAGGCCATAAATAGAAAAAATACCGGTGGGGCCAACAATCGATCACTCGGTACTTTCCGTGGACCTATTCTTCACTGTGTGCTTCAAAAAGCAAACAACGCGTCATGATTTAGTGGTTAAAATTAATTAACCTCAGAAACTAAAATTAACCCCAGTAAACAGAACTATAAAAACTCCCAATATTGGCATTCTTTTTAGCTCTGCTAAATTTAACATAGTAGCCCAGAGGAAGTAAAAAATTTATCATAGGTATGTTAAAATTTTAAGGATTGCAGAGTCCTCATGCCTGATTTATGACTATGGTAGAAGAAGCCCATTGTTAAATCATAGAGGTAAACGTAACTAAATTTAGGTTATTTTGCAATTGGGTTCTATCGTCAATACCATTTGTAACCCTTTTTACATAATAAACAGCTAGTGAACCAAAGAACAGTGCTTATAAAAAATACATTTCGATTGTCCTGAAAATAATTCAAGTCATACATGCCTCCAAGTTTAATCTCCGTGTTTTGTTCTGATCATTGTGTTTCGTCAATAGTCTTCTTTTCAATTCATACAATGTTTGCATCACTCCGACTTTTGTGCTGCCAAGCTCCATCTCTACTGTTCACTGTGATTCGTTAATAGCATTCTTTACTTTAACAGGGGTAATAACAAGTTGTGTATCAACAGACAGTGCTCATAAAAATACATTTCGTTAGTTGTACATGCATGCTATGTACATGCCATGGCCGCTGGTGTAGGCCTAGTGCAATTTAAAAGTAAGCCCATGTAATTAAGATTCAGATTAAGATTCAAATTTATTGATCAATCATATAAAATACATGTTTGTTTTCCTGAGTTGTAATACACATAAAGTTCATTAAAATATAAGTACACAAAAACATTCAGCTGCATAAAAAGGTAAAGGTATTACATACATCATAACATCATAGTATAAATATTAGAAGTTGTATAAAAAGACATGACAGTGTTAAAAACCAATAAAAACCATAAAAACAAACAGTAAGTAAAATTGCAACTAAAAGGACTGCCTTGCATTTGTGTATTAAAACTTACCTACTGAATTTACTAATGTAGAGACAAATTTCAAATACAGTACCGGTACCAAGAAAAAGAAACTTTCAAATAGACCTTTTTTTTTTTTGCTTAGCGTTAAACTCGGCTGAGATTATCTTTGGCCCATCAGATCTAATTAATTAAGAACCAGGGATATATATTATATAATATAATTCTAATATTGTCATCCAAATAGTGTACACTTTTTTTTTTTTTTTTTATAACAACACATTTTATAAGAACACTGAGGCTGAAATTGCTTAAAAATTAAGAACAAAATAAGAACAAATTGAGGCTGAGGTAAAATGTCAAATGAGATTTTTATTCAAGAAAACTAGAAAATACTAATATTTTTTGTTTGAAAAGTGTGTAACATAAGAACAGAATAAGAACATTTTGAGCCTGAAATCAGCCAAAAATTAAGAACACTGAGCCTGGGTAAAATTTTACTGGTTCTTATAAAAAAAGAAGTGTACTGTGTTGCTACCAATAAATGGTTCATTCATTTCATCACTAATCATTGGCAATGGATATTGTTTTGACAACTTTACGTAAGTCCGAGGTGTCGATTGGTGGATTTCAGTCTTGCTATCTTAATACACTACGGCATGTCAGAAGAATATCCATTTTAATAATTTAATGGCGGCATTACATTTCTTTAAACAGTTACTCGTCTAAATACATCAAATTTGCATTATCCATGCATTCATCTAACATATCGTACATCCATCTTGAACCACCCATGCATTCCTGATATCGTCTTTCCATCAGATCTTTGTTTTTAAGCTTCCAAAATAAAACTAAAGTATTAAATACTCTTTATTAGATTTAAATCGTCGTTGTAATGTGTATTTTAATGACCTTTTGATGATGTTATTAAATCTGTTCGTTCTCATAAAAGATTGTCCCTCGATTCGGTAAAGTATAAATTAACTGCCAATAAGCCATTCGTAGCATAAACTGTCCATATCCAATGTCAATCAACATACAGTATTTGTTTATTTCGATTGACCTTAATTTGGTCATGCGCAGTTTAAACTACGAATTGGCTTATTTGAAAACGAGTTTATTGATGAACTAAGGTACTTTCTCCGCCACAATTGACTAATTATTGTGTATGTTTTTCTAATACCTAAATATATTTTTTTTAAATTTATTCTTGATCCTTTTTTTTAAAATACTTTTTATCTACTATTTTTATATTTGTCATTGTATTTTGATGTTCTTACTTTGTTTTTACTTATGTTCACCTTGGAGATTTCTCGATAGTGTTGTACTCCTTGGATTGTTTTTTGTTGTATTTTTCTATCCTCAAATGTTTTAATAATTAAACAACCAATCACAAAAAGCATAAATTCACATGCGACGGCAACCCAGAAAGTGTTTGCATGAGACCGTACAGATACATAATTTCATCTAAATGAATGTGGACTCATTGTAAAGTACACTATCATTTAAACATCAAATGTAGTCATGTTTACCATCCAAGGTTTACGATTACTAGTGAAATAATCATAAATATAATTGAGAGGCTTGGATGTTAAAACAGGTGACAAACTTTATCACGATGTCACTTAATAATTTGCAAAAATATTAGTAGGCCTATCTCTCCGTTCCATTACATTTTTTCTCCTTAACATCTGTGCTTTTATTGGTTAACAACATTGGTATTTAGTCCGTCACTGTAAAACGCCAGGACTAGAAGTAGGCTATTGGGTTTCGTTTTTGAATGTTCACGTACAAGGGCCGCTAGAAAACATGTTAAATCAAACTAATCCATATTATGTCAAATCGATTAAAATTTCTGAGCATGCACAGAGAGCATCAATATAACATTTCGGTAAACTTGCAAACCTCGCTGAGGTCTGTTAAGATTAATACCGAGCTATAAACAAGGATGTTACGTTTGTTTTACATGGATGTGCATTCACACGCTCGTGTAAAGTAACAATTTGTTACATTTTGTTGCATTTTGCTTTGTACGTGTGAACCGGATGTTGTGAGTATGTTACGTTTGATTATGTCGATTGACTTTAATTTGGAAATGCTGCCCTGTTTGAACTACGAATTGGCTTATTTGTAAGGCACGCTCTCTGCCACAACCAATCACAAAAAGGATAAATTCAGCATGTTTACATTATTACATATAGATGATACAATTGTTTTACGTGGATGTGAATTCACACGCTTGTGTAAATATAACAATTTGTTACATTTTGTTTCATTTTACTTTGTTCGTGTGAATCGGGTATTATAGGGGGGTTTTTTTTATGTTAAAACGTGACAGTGCTGAGATAATGTATTTCCAAGGTGATGAAAATTTGGGCGTAACAATGTGGATTGATCAGTCAGAGCAAAGTACTACTGT